ACAAGGGAAAAGGAGGTGTGTGTTTTAGTTTTTCTCACGATCTAAACCACAAGGTGAAGGTATTTGGATGTTTGTATACCACTACCTATTACTTACCTTGCTGTCATCACAGAGTTCCCTAGACTGTGCTGTCGTCAACCTCTGTTGAAAAATCTTGTATACAGGAAGTCTTTTCCTCCTAAAGCAACTTCCATTGACTTTAAATAATGATATCGGATAAGATATCCATCCCACTCTCCATTCAAGTTCAAATTATCTTTATTTATAGCATGTACAAAACGTACAATTAATAGTGTAAAGCATTTTATGAGTGTTTTACTTTTAGTGACACTTGCGTAATTTCCAATGTCAAAATACAGCGGGGTGCAAAGAAAAAGGAAATTTTGAACTTATCATAATAAACCAAGAAAATTATACAAAAAGATTTTTAATGCTGAAAATGTGTTGGTTAAGAGTGGAAGAATACATGCAAAATATTTGATCTCGCATCACTAAAGTGCTGTCCATTGCGCCTAACACATTCGTTAAATCAGTTTTAAAGACTTAGCAGTTAGCATTGTGCGACGCAATTTGTCCTCTGGGATGTTGGCGACGTGTTCTTCGATCTAAGTCTTGAGCTCAGTAAGATTTATTGGACTAGTCTGGTACACAACGCTCTTCAGATGTCCCCATAGAAAAAAGTCACATACTGAGAGGTCTGGAGACCTTGGGGACCAAGCGATGTTAAGCGTTCCTTGAAATTATGCGCTCCCCAAACAAAAGTCTCAATGCAGCCATTGACAGGTTGGCAGTGTGTGAGGTGGCTTTGTCCTGTTGAAACCAGGTTTTCTGAATTTCAATATCTGGAAAAACATGAAGCCGTGGAACAAAAAATGTATCTAGCATATGAATGTAACATTGAGATGTGACTGTTACAGTAGAACCATTATCATCCTCAAATAATTAAGGTCCGATAACACTACGACAAGACACTGCACACCATAACAGTGTAACATTGGGGCTGTGTAACGGACATTGATGAAGTTCAGCGGGATTTCGTTGAGCCCATCCATTATTGAAAGTGGGCCTCGTCAGACATCCAAACATTTTCAAGGACGTTTGCGCCATCATGCGCAAAAAGCGCGGCGTTGACAAAAAGCTAAGCGCAACTCACTCTCATTTGGTTTTAGAGCTTGAACAATCTTAAGCCTGTAAGTATGAAAGTGCAGGCTGTGCAATATTCTTTGCACGATCCTACGTTCAAGCTACATTGATGAGCAGGCAATTTTTCGTACAGAACAATGCGGACTCCTTTCCACGCAGCGACTCACACTGCATCAATGTTTCTGGGGTTGGAACAGTCACTACATGCCCATGAGATTTCTTCATTGAGGCTGAACCAGTCCCTTCAAAATTCCAAGCCCAAGTTAATATTGCAAGCGAAGAAGGAACTCGACCATGAGGAGAAATATCATAATGGTGTCGGAACACTCGTTGTGCAGCTGTTGCACTGTTGCCATTTTTGTAGTAAAGCTCCCTCTGCGACTGCACGCTCCGCACAACTCCACTGCTCCATCTCAACTAAATGTCCGTTACTACTTGGCGTCATTACTTCCGTTTCCCATTCCTAAGAGACTTACAGGTGTACCAACAACCACTTCAAAATTTCCCGTTTCTCGGCGCCACCCTGTATTATTTTATTTGTATTTTATGCTAATTTAACAATATGTACACTTTCCTCTATGGTTATGATACAAAAGGACAAGTAGTAGAACAGATTAAAGTATAGACTTGTCTACTCTTAATTGTGAGGTAGTAGTTTACAAGTATACTGTTTTAGTTGGTTGTAATAATTGAAAAACTAAAATTATAGAAATAAATAAAAGACATAGACACAACCAAGTGTTGCATCACCAAACACAATCTTCTCCATTGTCAGTTGTACGATAAGGGCGGATAATCTACAATGTAGTATATGTTTTAATCTCTGTCATTTCTGAAATGTTAACTCAAATTATTGTGTTTAGGTAAAAATGTAGATGCTGTCGGTCCAAATATGCCAGACTGCTGAAGAGATAATTTATGCAGAATTACTTTTACTACAGAGGAGTCTCATGTGACTGTCGGAGTGTGGGATAGGTAATGTAGAAAAACTACAACAATTCATAATTCAATACTGTTAATAAAGCTCTTACTGTATAAAGTTATTAAAGATTATATTGTCATTAAAGCGCTGTATTTAATTACATAAAATAATAAATACATCCAGCTATTACATTAGTTTTGTTTTGCCTGAGTTTTGGTTGATTCTTATAAAAGATTTGGAATGTTTAAATTTAAATAATTGGTTATGATTTCTTTTCACAGAGCTGATAGAAAATACATAGTCCAAAATGATCTTCATTAAAATAAGAAAAAGGTATGATTGAGCTTTGCCTCTATAATCAATGGTGGCTATGTAACTGTGTTTTAAAGTAGATTTAAAGAGCCACACTGTTCCCTTCTGTTTTCTCACCCCGTTGTGAAGAACGGACAGAGCAACAACAAAAAATCGTTAAAATTAGCAATAAGTATATTGAGTTTTACCTCTGACTACATCATTATCTTCTGTCCAGATAAAGGTGCAACCCTGTTAGAGCTTCATCATCTAGCATGCAACCTGATGGGACATTGAAGGAGGATGTGCTACAAAGTATTTTCTTCCGTTTGATACACTGGACACAAGGATGGCTCAGAACGTTTGAAGTGAAAGAGATAACATTACAACAGCATGCCCTGTTTTAACTCCTGAGGCAAAAGTTGACATGGACCTATGTATATTTCGGTATATATCGGTGTCAGGCAAAGTGAGGAGGGATAAAGGTGGTGACCATTTGATTTGTCATTCTATATTTTTTTCCATCTACGCTTCAATAAGGTTTGAGTTTCGGCTATGCAGGAGCTCAATTATTGTTGCTTTGGTAGTTATAGGGAGCATGTGTCGCTGGCTTAAGTGAATCTATCAGCTCAATTATTGTTGCTTTGGTAGTATAGGGAGCATGTGTCGCTGCTTAAGTGAATCTATCAGAATCTTTCTCCCTGCAATCCACAATGTCCCAGTCATTGGAAACGGATTTCCTTGTCTTTCATAAACTGCATTAGATGATGATTTCTTGGGTAACAGTAGCTGTATGATGATGTGACTAACATTCTCAGTTATATACTGTAGTTGTGTTTACTCATCTATATGACAGCAATTTATCTGATCCCTAAACACACTAGCAGTGATGTCTAGCCCATTACAATAGTCTTTAGACCAAATCCATTTCTTAACAATTCAACCTTTTTTAACTAAGTTAAAACTCATAGATCTCTACATAGATAGATGTTTGTTTGGTTGCGTATGAAAGAAAGACCCTCATAAGAACTTTTAAAACACAATACTACATATTCACTTTATTTATTAAAAATCAACTCTGATTCTAGCAGAGTACAAAAAATGTTCTTGCGCTCATCACAATCAATAATAAACTACCAGATCATTTAAAAGTTAAAACAAAGCATCGACTTGATTTTTTTATAAGTGCTCGGGGAAAAACAAATTCTATTAGACTACCTTAACCTCAACTTATTGAGTATGTTGTAAACAAACAAAACTAATCGAAAGGTGACTCTTTGCCAAATTACACCAGACAGAAGGTAAAGGCAGATCGCCAGCTACGGAAATAGCTTTTGGAAACTGGCACAGCTACCGACCAGATACTGTCTCACTGGTCAAGATAAATACACTCGTTAGCTACCATTCATCTACCGTTTACGGTAGTGAAATGGTAATGGACTTTTTCTAAAAGTTATACATATACAATGAAAATTGTCTTCCAAAACTACAAGGTATATCGAGGTAGTTTTGCTATTATTTTCCATATAAAAACTCCAACTTATAACGGTTATCAAGAATTAATTTAAGTTATGATTATATGATATTAATAAACAATAATGTGAGGAATAACTGTATTTTTAAAAATTACATAATATTAAAACCATTTATCCTTTGATGTATTAAAAAATCTATCTGTTTGGCTTAATGGGTTTGTAATATGAAGCGTAGCTACATGATGATTTTATTTTTTTTTTACTTGTACCATTGACTATAGTAATAGTCAATGCTTGTAAGTAACATTTGGGTTTCTTGGTTGAAAAATCGTAAAAATAAAAAAAGCTACCCCCAGTACACAATTTGACACATTTACTACAGACATATTATTTTATTTAAATAGATGACACTTCTTGTTTTATGTTTGTGTTTAAAGATACATAACATTTCGATCCATTGTTTGTTTGGCTTCTGCTATTACTAAGGCTTCACCTGGTTTAGCTCACTGTAATGTGGCTCCTCACCTTTCAATTTCACATTGTGGCTTTTTTTTACTTGCGTTTTTAATCATTCTTGTAGCATTAGTTCCTCTTATTTATACGACAATGTATATTATGTAAATTAAACCACTTAACTACTTCTTATTTCAGTATCTAGCTGTATTTTTTACCATCGTTTTTGGAAGGTTTAATAATTTGGGACATACGGTTTGATCTGAAATCAATATTGGACACTCTAAAAGATTCACCTTCTATGAATAGTTGCAATTCGGAAAATTTGTGAACACAATGTTAAATTATGATCAAATTTGGGGTAAAAACGGAATACAATTTCCATGTTTATCTTCTTTATTCTTTATGTCTTTTTTTGTATGTATGGTACAATTTATATGCATGAATGTATGTACATTTTACATTAACCTATATTATAGGTATTTATTTACAGTTAAAGACTTAATAGCATGACTAAAACATAACTAAAGGTGAAGAGTAATCGCTACAGTAAGAAATAATTACAGCATTTTGAATGTTAAATTAAGTGTGAGTAAAATTTTATATTTATATAATAATGCATGATAGCCATTTTGATGAGTTTTCATTTAATCTTTTAACTAACTTTTATGTTAGTTATGGTATAAAAATAGTGTTTACTTTGCTTAGCAAAGCAAAAGACCACTGAGTAAAATAGATTATTTCCCCTTGATGTATTTAAATAAATAGTCCTTAAATCTGACCAAAACAGTCGGAAAGACCTTGTTCTCGTCTCCACGCTGCCACTCTTTGATGATACCAGGCCTGAAACATAAAAAAAATATTTATTCATCTAGTCGAACTGTTTTGCAACTTTCAACATATACAATAACAATTTTAACCTGAAATGGAATATGTCATGTTGTACTCATAAGCAAAAGATAAATACCAAACTCATTTGTTGGACACTTCAATCCAACTATTTTAATTACTGAAGCCATTTCATTGCTCGAGATTTTTTGCATCTGGTATAAAAGCTGAAATCCTCAAAATATTCTGCTACTAAGGAAATAAAATATGTGTTTTGGTGAGTATGGCTCTATCGGTAGCACGGTGAACTTCCAGCCCAAGGCAGTAATGTCAATTGGTTTGGATCCTGGTACATACCACTACTTTTTATCAGTACGCTTTACGCTAACGCTTGTACTGTACCTGCTCATCTCTTGCTTTGATGGATACGTTCCAAGCACATATCTTTAGCCTGTGTGGACGGGCAAATGCAAGGTTAAAAGAGGCCGCCAACCATTTTTTAGACAGGAAAGTTTAATCTATTTATGTATGCAAATTTGTGAGTAAGCTAGAAATATATTACCTGCACATCGGACTCATTGGCTGCCATCTCAGCGGCTAGGAGCGCAAGGTCTGTGGTGTGAAGGGTCTTCATCTTGGCAAACTCCGCCTCTAGTGTCTGCACTTGGTGGGGAGTGAGACCACCCGAGTACATGACGGGAGCAGTTGGCGGACGTTGGGGCGTTCTTAACATCACTGAAAACAAATCAAAATGAATATCTGTGTGTCCTCATGCATTACCAAATTTGACATCTGTTTACCATGACAATTCGGGAATGTTTTTGGTATTAATATTCTCTCTTAAGCAACACTTGCAGATGATGTGCACTTGTCTTTGAGAAATTGTGTTGAAATAGTTAAATTATTAGTTATGATCATTGACTTATGGATACTGAAGTAGACATCCCATTGTTAACGACGAGCTATTGCTAATATTTTTCTTCAAAAAGATTGTAGTTAAATGAGCTACATGCAGGTTGCACTACAGTCTACAATTCAATTTTCTGATTTATTCATTTTCCCTGAGATAGTGATATAAAAGATTCTGAATGATTCAATTCTTATCAGTTTGACTCGGGTAAAAAGTCTGTGAATTTGTCAAAATCAGTAATTTGAATCAGCACACTATCAGACTCTCAATTGAACTACCTACCTCTATTTTTTTTTTTTTTTTTTTTTTTTTACTGGTGAAAATTAAAACATGGTATGGGATGTCTAGTTCTACCATCAATAGTCAAAGGTATTACTTAGGATGTAAAACTACCCCTGGGGTAGTTGCAACCGCAAGTGTTATGGCCGACTGCACATTCATTTATGTTAAAAATCACATCCATGTGTGTGCGTGGTATATATGCTGACTGTGTATTGACGATGACAAATGTACAAATGATTTTATGAAGCAAGAGGCTTGCCGATGAAACTGTGGTTTCGAAACTAGTCGTAGACGCCTAGTCTAAAAATTAGAATTGATGACGTAAAAGCTATGTAAACCTATTTTTATATTGTCAATAAATCAATCCTAGGGGCAGTGATGAATATGAAAAAAATCTTTGCAATGTATTGAAATTAAATTTTCATGACCATGCGACCAGAAATAGATCAAATATCCATACAGAGTTTCATTGGTTTGGTTTTTCATAAAGGTGGTTTCAAAAAAGATTAAGGATTTGATTCTGAAATTAATTGATAATCTTTAATATAAAAACAAACCGTGGAAAGCAAGCATAACCTGTTCGGAGGTAAGCTGGTTAGTTTGTGATGGAATCCAAAATAGTTTTTGGCACCATATTACTCTAGGATGAATGTCAAGTTATATTTTTATATCTTGGGAACATATAAAACTAGCTTAACCTTATCCTAGTTTAAGCCTAGTATATATCTTGATCTTGGGAAATTTTGAGGGCAAAATTATTAATATTTACTCATAAATCAGGGGGGAAATTTCAATTTGCTTACATCCTATTGTTTTTAGACTTAATCCTACTAATATTATAAATGAGAAAGTTTGGATGTATGGATGTATGGATGTATGGATGTATGTTTGTGACAAGTGAATGCGAAAAATACTGGTCGGATTGGGCTGAAATTTGGCATGATGATAGCTCACATTCCCGATTAACATATAGGCATATATTCTTATTTCAAAAATCCTTTCGGGCTCCGCCCCAGTGGCTCTGGAGTTTCCCATGATAACCTTATGAGAAATGGAATTATTGAATCTTAACAGCTGTTTCAATTAAACAAGTTGGTTCTGTTCTATGATGTTCAATAGCATTAAAGTTACAAGGATTACCAACAGGGTGCAGCACTATTATTTCTTTTACATTTATGACAACAGCTAATTTGCAACCAAAAGGTGAGTGAGCGTAGCGAACGAACTTCAACCTGGAGGCGAGTTAGCGTAGCGAACGAGCTAACCTGAAGGCAAGTGAGCGCAGCGAACGAGCTCCAACCTAAAGGTGAGTGAGCGTAGCGAACGAGCTCCAACCTAAAGGTGAGTGAGCGTAGCGAACAAACTTCAACCAGGACGTGATTGAGCCATGCGAACGAGATAGGCCAATCTTGAAAATTAAGAAGTTAAACGGGGCAAAGCCCGCGGGTTACAGCTAGTTAAATCATAAATACATAAATCTCTCTCCTTGACATGGTATTAAAATGTTATATTTTTTATGTTGCGCTATAAAACGTATTTGTATAACATGTAATAAACTTGCTACTGTACAATATCAGCTAAAGACACATTTAAAATGTATGCAATTTTGGGGAGAGGTAAGGTAACTCAACAGAATTGTCACTATTCTGTATACAGTTGTTATGGTGCAATTACACACACATGCTGCACATACCACAATAATAAGCACATTAACACACATCCAAGCATCCCACATGTTGAACAAAATTGTTCTTTTGATAAAAAAAAAAACTCATTGAAATGAAAAGTTAAGTTGACTTAACAGATTTTTTGTCATACGCTGCAGCAATAATTGGTTCATTCCTTAAGTGGTTCCAAAATGTTCCAGATGCGAATTTTCGTACAAAAATTACAGATTTTGTGAATTTTATTAACTTAATTGTGCCAGTCCAGCTTCCAATCAAAATTTCAATCCTCAATTTTTCTTTTTAACATATAAAGTTAACAAGAAAAAATGAGGTTTGAAATTTTCTTCCATGGGAAGTTTCTTTTTGAAATGTGTCAAAAAGTTGTATTCCACACTGTTAAAAATATTCAGAATATAAATATTATCTTATATACTAAAAAACTTTTGCAAAATTTATGACAGCTAGCCTGGCCAAACTACTGAACCGAATATTACACGCGGTTAGTACCAAATGAAAGATATTTTCCTGTAGAAGTGCAGAATCCCTTTATAAATTAAAATGGGCTCAAAAATAAGCACAAAAAATGAATTAAAAATTAAAAAAAAAAATAACATGGGCCTTATGGGTTGCCATATTGGTGACGAAATAACATCAAAATATAAACAGAAAATCAAAACAAATAGAAGAAATTCCAATCACATGTATTATTTACAGCGTTGGGTGAAAAAAGAAAGGATGCAATAACAATACATACTTTTGGTCGAGTTTTTGGCCAAGGGGCGAGGTCTAGTGTTATTAAAAAAAACATCAGCAGGGATTAACATAGGCTCTAATACAGGGTTAGACACAAGATGTTCTGTGGTATTTCGGGGGCAGCCCCAAATTTTAAAATGTAAACACCTATCATGTGACCCCTCATTTTAAAGGGTTTATCAAGAGAAATTGAATGGCGCAAATCAGAGCTCAATATTACACCCCTAATCAAAATGGCAGTCATTTTAAAATATCCCCTATTAACTTTTTAACAGGTTATAGCAGGAAAACGAAACTCAGCATACCTTTATAAAAAAAGGGAATTCATCTTTTGGTCAGTATTAAAATATTATATTTTTAAAGTTAACTGGGGGTGTCCAGACTTTATCTTGCTTGTTCATCTAAAATAAATAAAATGGCTGCCATTTTCATTAGGGGTGCGATATTGACCTCTAGTTTGCGCCATTCAATTTCCCTTGATAAACCCTTTAAAATGAGGGGTCACATGATAGGTGTTTACATTTTAAAATTTGGGGCCGCTCCCAAAATACCCCATTTTGGGGGCTGGGACAAAGTTGTGACTTTGATGAAAAAGTGCAATTTCTTATGTTGTAAATATGTGCCGAGTTTGGTTTTCCTACTGCAACGCGTTAAAAAGTTAACTGGGGGGTTCCAGACTTTTGCCTAACCCTATATATTAATTAAATACAAAATGCCCCAGTCACAGCCTTTTCAGCCTACTCCTACTGGTTAGATTTCCACTAAAATATTCCATTAAAACTGTAAGTTGTATTTCCTATTTATATTATTCATTCTGATAGCCCCTGGACTACGAATAATGACTTATATAGGCTTACCTCCGTCAGTAGTCCAAAATTGTGTCTTTTTCAACTAATGTTGTTCAAAGCTTACATGTTTCGTTGCACTGCAACATCGTCAGAGCTTTTTGTCAAAAACATCAAATGATTTATACATAAAACAAAACACGGAACACGAAACATTTAAACACGTAACACGATAGCGCTATCGACACGGCACGGCAGCGCTATCGGCTATCGTGTTATTACGTGTTTAAATGTTTCGTGTTCCGTGTTTTGTTTTATGTATAAATCATTTGATGTTTTTGACAAAAAGCTCTGACGATGTTGCAGTGCAACGAAACATGTAAGCTTTGAACAACATTAGTTGAAAAAGACACAATTTTGGACTACTGACGGAGGTAAGCCTATATAAGTTTCCTATTTAAATAAATAGGAATGAGTACTTTATTTTTAGGTTCACTGCTACAGGTAAGGTAATAAGGTGTTTTTATTGAAATGTTGATTGCTTAGTATGAAGTAAACAAATTTGTCTAATTCATAAAACAACAAACTACAACATTTTATCTATTCTCCACAAAAATAACATGGGAATTTAAAATTTATAATAGCCGTTTGAAAAGCAGAATCGTTTCTAAAATATGCTAGTTTATTTAAATTTAAAAATTGCCTTAATTTTTACTAAATAATTATTTTTTGTTAATGTGGAGAAATAAATGTTGTAGCATATTTTTTTTTATTTTCAAAATATTCTAGGTCTTGCATTTGCAGGATTAAATTTTGTCATCCTACCCGGTAATTAATTTTTTTAAATCAATGGAAACAAAATGTATGCTAAACTGTCTCGTAGATTACAAATAAATTAACTAATTAGGCTAATCTAGAAAATAAATTTTTACCTGGTGGTTCAATTGGCCAATAGCGACTGATATAAATTATTTTGCGTTCATAAAAAGAATCACGATCACTTGGGAGAGACAGTGTTACGCTCTTCCAGACACACGCACAGATGAAACTACGACAGCGTTCTCTGTAGTCTGGCGGGAGAAACAGTTCCCTTCCCTGCAGTCGTGTTTTGGAATCATAGATCATAGATGTTGCTTCAAACTTTGGCTGTACGCCCATGCGCTGTGACTGCAACACAATTTTATTGAGATACATTTTTACATTAATACCATGGATGAAGTTATATATGATCACAGCCACCTCTAATACATGTAATAATGTATTAGAGGTGGCTGTGATATGATACAATCAGATTTTCATGGTTTGGAGACCTTTTAAGAAAGTGTCATATACTTATTAAAGGCTTAAAAAAAAACATTAAATTAGTATTTTTCAGATTAAAAAATATAAATATCAAACAATAAACCGTTAATAAGAGAACGATTCTATAATGCTGTTCAGAGTTCTTAAAGGCCATAGGAATGGCATAATGTAAACAGAAATCGTCAATTTCCAAACCTTTTCTTTATCTAGAATGGCTGAAGCGATATGCACGGAATTTAGCTGAGTAATTGTTTGAGTTTCCAAATGAACGTATAAGTCTTAAAAAAAAAGGCACCAATGATACTTTAAAGGGACAACCCAAGTAGCACAAATATGGATATAATACGTATAATTTACCTACCGACATGGTATAGCTTTTGTATACAATCTGTATAGAAATGTATACAATACAGATTGTATCCGTAAATATGTCCCACTTAAATATGGATTATTTGCATATTATATAAGGATCTAACTACAGATATGATACATATTATACATATGTATATAATATGTAAATTTTGATAGAAATTGATCCATACCTTAAATGTATAAAATACATATTTTATACATAGATGATACATATTTGATGCCATATTAATAAAAAGTGGCTCAAAATAAAATTGTCAAAAAAATAAATAAAAATTATATACATTGATTTTTACAAACAGTTTTCTTTGAAGGCATTTCTTATGGGAGGTAAACTATGTGTCGTGAGGGTTGGTGTGTTGTATGGTGGTAAAACAATATTTTAAGTCTTCATTAGAAATATATGTGTTTTGTGATTTGTCAGGTAAATACCTAATTGATCTAGTTTAGGGACAACCTCTGCTGTTCAGTAGTTTCATCTGAAGCAGGCCCGTAGGGATCACATCCGAGGCTCCTAAGGTGAACCAGAGGGGCCCTAGTGAAAGTCCTTATCTGGGGAGAGCACCCATTACAGTTACTACATCATTACAATACAGTATGCAAAATGTAATGTTATATATTGTTGGTGTAAGCTAGCTATCAGCCATTTATTTTCATATCATAATCAAACCAAAGAATGAGAGAATTATGCAATTTTTGTAGACTTCCTTAAAAACAGTAGCAGCCACAAAAAAACAAATGATTTTACCTTTAAAGAATATGTCTTTTAATGAAGTAGAGAAGATAAAGAATATGGCAACTACCTTAACAAATATTAGACCAAGACAGCTTTACATTTTTTTAATTATCGTACATTGAAGATTATTTGAGAAAAACAAATTAAATAACCTCATTATATATGAGATTATGGTTGCAGCGTTAAATTATTTTTACCATTATAAATACGGAAATAAGATGGTTCACAAACACATATCGCACCCTATTTTTGATTACAGACAAATGTTGGTACAGTATATGAATAAAATAGATTTTAGGCCAAATTAAATCAAATAAAAAACTTCTTTATTTGTCAATGTACATATTACATACAAAACATATTACATTAAATAGCCTTAAATAATAATAATGTTAAAGTCAAATTAACCCTTTGAGTGCCAACGTCCGGGGAACCGGACGTTTTTAAAACGAGCCAAAAGTGCCGACGTCCGGCCGACCGGACGTTTTTAGAACGAGCCAAAAGTGCCAACGTCCGGCTGACCGGACGTTTCGTAATGATAGAACAGTTGTCATAACAACCGAATGGATACTCGGATTCTTTTAACCCATATATTAACATTGAGTCGAAAGTTACTAGATGCAATACATTGATTTTCGTTGGTCGAAATATCGAAAATTCGGTTTTTACGACATTTTAACCTAAAAATCGCCAGATTGCGCTCGGCATTTTTAGCGCGACCTTCGGGAAAAATCATCGGCATATTTTGAGCGTTACTTTTATTTCTCGCCTGGCACTCTAAGGGTTAAAAATTATAATACAGTACAGATTATTGGATCAATGTGAAGAATTACAGAAAATTAAATAACATAACAATTAAATAACCTGCTACTTCTACATTGTTTTAGCTATAAAAAAAATTTTAATTTTAATTTACATTTTGTTTATTAGGCAGGGAAATTTATAACATCAGCGTACAACCTCAGATAAAAGATGTCCCACTCATCTCCGATAAACCCAGTCTAAGCCTCCATTTTAGGCCTACCCACACTTGAAAGACATCAGCCTATTTTGTATACTTTCTCCACTTATCAGATAACCGCTATATACGACAAATCTGTGATTTATCCAACTATAAATTATCCAAAATTGAAGAACATGTGTTATCAAAAGGATTAATCTTCTGCCCCACTCCAACCTTAGACAACTTTGAATCAATCAAAGATATTATGACACTAGCCAACAGTACAGGTTATTGGATCAGTGTGAAGAATTACAGAAAATTAAATAACATAACAATTAAATAACCTGCTACTTCTAAATTGTTTTAACTATAAAAAATTCTTAACTTTTATTTACATTTTGTTTATATTAGGCAAGGAAATTTCAGCGTACAACCTCAGATAAAAGATCCCCACTTATCTCCATAAACCCAGTCTAGCCTCCATTTTAGGCCTACCCACACTTGAAAGACATCAGCCTATTTTGTATACTTTCTCCACTTATCAGAAAACCGCTATATATACGCCTTGCAGGCAGATAACACTTCATCAAAAAAGCAACAAATTATCCACAATTGAAGAACATGTGTTATCAAAAGGCTTAAGTTTCTGCCCCACTCCAACCTTAGACAACTTTGAATCAATCAAAGATATTATGACATTAGCAAAACACTACTTTGCCAGCCAAATTCACGATGTAACTAAGCCTAACCTTTCTAAATGTTAAAAACCAATAAAAAGTTGTTCAAAGGTTTAGGCCTATTGAAGACATTTTCTATCACAATAGTAAAAAAAAACAATACACAACGGATCTGGAATCTGATCCCGTCTTCAGGTGAAAAAACTTTACTAAAACATTACAAATGTGTGTAACATAATAATAATGTGTTTGCTAGGTTTGTTTCACTTGATCAACCAAAGGACCTTCATTATGATTGTTTTCTGTAAAAGGCATCTTATATTCAGACCGGGGTAGCGGATTTCTACCCCCGGATATCAACCCCCATGAAAAAACGCCTACGTCATTTTGACGTCACGAGGGGCGGGATACACGAGAAACAGCCCGCGACTGGAAATCTACCCCCGGACATCTACCCCCGGATATCTACCCCCAGACATCTACCCCCGGACATCTACCCCCAGACATCTACCCCCGGAAATCTACCCCCGGACATCTACCCCCGGAAATCTACCCCCGTGGTCAGCTACGCTACGTATCGGCCAAGATGCATTGTTGTAATTTATTTTATTAATTGGTTTATGTAAATAAACGGCTCTTTGGTTATTCATTAGCTTCTAATATCCAGTATAAAGCATGCGATATGTTGTTGTCATGTTTAACATGTACATTGAATAGGTACAGTATTTTACATATTTGATTTATGTAGCTAAATAAGGTTATAACAAATAACATTTATCTTATGTTATTGGAATTAAAACAACTACAAGATTATGCAGTTTAAAAAAACTAGGTATTCTGAAATCAATATGTTTTTTCTAAATATGATATCATGAATATGCTTTCTTATTATTTACTTTTAAATATGTTTGATGATATCATTGTTTTGGTGACACACCTGTTGCGTTGACTGTTGTTTTGGCAACGACTTGGGGTATATTATTGCCCAAAAAGAATAAAGTATTTTTTGAGTTTTCGTTTTACAAAAAAAGTTAATTCGAATAATAAGCTAATGAATAACCGAAGAGCCGTTGACTTACATAAACCAATTAATGAAATCAATTACAACAATGCATCTTGGCCAATACGTAGCGTAGCTGACCATGGGGGTAGATTTCCGGGGGTAGATTTCCGGGGGTAGATGTCTGGGGGTGGATGTCCGGGGGTAGATGTCCGGGGGTAGATTTCCAGTCGCGGGCTGTTTCTCGACCGTGTATAGGCCCCGCCCCTCGTGACGTCAAAATGACGTAGGCGTTTTTTCATGGGGGTAAATATCCGGGGGTAGAAATCCGGCGACCCTTCAGACCTACTCCCTGTCCCTGTTGATAGTGACCTCTCTTCAAAAATTCTTCTTACAATCTGCTGTAGAGGTAAAGCACAGTTTCTCAATTTTCTTTTCAATTGTTGAAGGTGGTTTTCAAATTTGAAGGCACTGACATTGTCAAGTGGGCCAAACATTCTAACATCTATGATAGTGGTTTAAATACCTTATTCATGCAATCCAATTGTTGTCTCCACAACTAGTTTCAACCTGCTAGGAGGTCATCATCAGGTGAGTACAAGGATGAATTACTTCATACGAAGGTCGTCAGTAACAGTTTTTTTACATTTACACAAACACACGACGAATAATAAACACATAGTGCGCACACATACACGGCCGATAAAAGGCCGTGTGTTATTATTCGTCGTGTGTTTGTGTAAATGTAAAAAAACTGTTACTGACGACCTTCGTATGAAGTAATTCATCCTTGTACTCACCTGATGATGACCTCCTAGCAGGTTGAAACTAGTTGTGGAGACAACAATTGGATTGCATTAATAAGGTATTTAAACCACTATCATAGTTATTATTCGCAATCCGGAGGCTACCCACACCATAATTCTAACATCCTCTGACAGATGAATTATTGAATGAACATTGTATGAAATTTGTTCTTCCCCATACAGACTGTAGAAATGATCAAAGAAATAAATTAACAAATCATGTGCTACATCTAATTTGGTTTCTATGAAAAGAGGACTAGCCATAATTCTAATTGCTGAGCTTAATGCAAGGAAATGGGTAAAGTTTTTCTTAGGTAAACAATCTTTCAAAACAAAAGGCCCAGTGTACAATAGCAGTGGCCTAAACTCAGTGGCTTTCCACCTATCTACACAGAAAACATACTACTATAACACAGAATGCCAACCGCATGGTAAAAAGCGTTAAGTACTTTGAGAGAACTTTGCCTGTCGATTCGTAGGCAGCGCCACCAGCGTTGCTATATGCACTCAGCATAGCAAGGCTGGTGGCGCAGCCTACAAATTGACAGGTAAAGCTCTCTCAAAGTACTTAACGCTTTTTACCATGCGGTTGGCATTCTGGGTTATAATAGTATGTTTTCTGTGCTATCTATCTCCTTCAAAGCCCCAGGTTTCCTAACAAACTCATTTGGCACAAGAGATTTTATTTCTAAGAGTTTCGTGGAAATCTGACTTGTTATATTGTTTCCCAAACGAACTGGATATTTACCTCTCATCCACAATAGCATTAATTTCCTCACTACTCCTAAACATATTGAGTGCATATAATCGTATGGGAAATTTGTGACCATTTTAATACCTTTGATCTGCTCTAAGATGGAAATACCAACACGATGATTTTCATTTTCTCGTAAGTAAAAGTTATCATCATTGTGAGGTTCTGCATTCTTTTCTGGAAACACAACCCTGCCCTCAACATATACTCCTTTAGTAACACATTTGTCGCAGCCATAGTAACCATTATGGTTTTTAATTTTTTTGATAAATGCTTTGGCTGGTGCGTCACATGTAAATGCTGATATTTCAATGGTGAAATGTTGATCGTGAAAAGTAATACCACTTTCCAAAACTTGATTTGCTTCATTGACAAAATCAAACAAAAAATCATTGCAACAGTCTGGCTTGGAAAGGCCATGGTAAATACCTATTACAAAAGGACTTGTAGGCCTATTTAAAATATTGAAGGAACCTAAGATAGGCCTAAGATAGGTTTTTTTCACTTGAGGACGGGATCAGTTTCTAGATCACGAAACCATTGTGTATTGTTTTATACCATTGTGATAGAAAATGTCCGCAATAAACCTTTGAACAAAATTAACTCTCCGTAAAAAACAATGGACTTAAAACTAAGAACCAATAAAATCTTATGCCTTATGTAATTTGTTGAGCATTTTTGTTCTTCACGTAGATTCTTGTGCCAGATTGCCGAAACCATTCTGATACTGTTTTTTCGAAAGCCTTCAAATTAAATAAATGTTTAAAAGGACCATTCCGCATCTCACCTGAAAAAAGTAGAATTTACATAAGTTTTGTTTTTCAATATTAGGTAGAATTGGGAAACAAGATTTTATACAAAATTCTTTAAAACATTACCGTAACCTGTATTGTGTATTTCCAACAGATACACACACACACACACACTAAAATAATATATAAATAAAAAAAAAACTTTTTAAAAATACCACGTTTTTATTGAACACACTTAAAAGTTGAAAATAATTTATAAATATAGCCTAAGGGGAGAATAAATACTTGTAAGATTTAAAACAAAAAACGTGGGTGCGCATGCAATAGCTAGTATACAATTTTCTTTGTCTACTGAACTATTGATACATTATTTTTAACCTCAATTAGGAAATATAGATGTAAATCATACAAACAGGATGTACTGTGTTGTATATTGCATGCACCCCAAGTTTTTGGTTTTAAATCTTACAATTATTTATTATCTTCACATCTTTATAAATTATTTCTAATTTTATTGAGTTCAAAAACAAGGCATTTAATTTTTTTTTGGCGAGTGTGGAAAGTTTTTCGAGAGCAGCAGATGGCAATTTCCACTCTCGTTACATATTATATATTTTTCTTATAATTACTATAAAGCATATATAAATAATTAGTTTTTCATACACTATACAACAAGTTTTTAGGTTAGGTTAAATCCCAGCGTTAAACGAAATGAAAAACAGGGCACCTGCTGATCGTAGTTGTAGTATCTTTAAGTGTTGCAAACTCATTTTCCAATTAAATTTGGTAATAAAAACGTGCTAAAATAGTAGGCCTAGTCTTTTGTAATTTAGATAATGTGTGGACTGCAACAACCCCATAGCCAAATACGTTAACTTAGTTCCTATTGTCTTTCAGCAGTTGGTAAAACACAAAAGAGACAAGAATCTTGGAATAAAATCAAGTACTTAGATTCCCAAAACAAATTCAGAATTTGTTGTACTCATATTTTCGTAATTGCTTTTGAACTATTACCTAACATTAAACAATTACCAGCCCCCCTGGATCCGTCAAAAGATAGCTTGAACTGTAGATAACTTACGTCCAACTACTTGTACGATGTTAAGCTGGTTAAGGCTTCTCTTTCTCCCCCCCTTTCCTTCCCAGCTGAATTGTCTGGCTAATTGATTTGTGAAGAGCTTCTTGAAGGCCCTCCTTGTGGCATCCTCAATGCTGGACCCCCCAATTTGGCGCACATATTCTTTCTAAACATAAGTTATTAGAAATTATTTCTCATTATGAAACACCCTGATTAGCTTTATTGTAATAAAATCTAAAGGAATTGCAATGAATCAAGCTTATATCAGCAATTAAATTGAAGAGTACAGTAGCAGACGTTTTGATTAATATTTACTTTCTTTTAGTTATGATCATCAAAAGTTGACATGAATAATAGCCATGTAGCAAAAGAATTAGTAGGCAGTTTCAGCTTGAGAATTGAATCTGTTATTCAGGAACTGCTTATTATGAAAACCAACTGTTACCCACAGGCTTCTCCCCGTTTTTGACTTCATAAGTATTTAATAAAATTATTGATTGGTTAAGTTAAGCTGAAATAAACGAAACAGAATACAGTAATACAAACAAATTAATACAGATGGGGCATTTTTAACATTAGGCATATATGGAAAGTTCACTTTAGAAAGGAATTACGACCTTAAAGAGCCTTAAAATAATGGATATCTTTACGCAAGGTTTCTCGTCATGACGAACATTTTAAGTATATGGTTTATGGGGGTGTGACTTGTGGTTTTCTCATAAGTTCATGGGTAAATTTGGGTTTTATAGATTTCATAGCTAACCCATTGAAAATATAGACACCCTGCATATCTAAATAAAAAATACCCCCGCCGCAGGAAACCTGCAGACTAAGCCAATTTCCATTTGCCTGATTGGATTTACACTCAAATGTCTACTTAAAAATATAACATTTATTCCCTATTTAAATAGAATTAGTTTAAAAAGTACTTAGGTTTGCTGCATCAGGGAGGGTAAAACTGTTTGTTTTTTTATTTCAATAGTTAGTAAGAAATAAAACCATTATCCAAACTTGATCAAAATATATTCATAAACAAGCAAACAACAACAGTTTACTTATTCTCCATAAGAATAACATGGGAAATTTAAAATTAAAATTTTTTGGAATTTTCTCCGTAACCATTAGGCGCATAATAAAGCTCCATTATACAAAATTATTTGTTTTTTAAGCTCTACAAAATGGTTTGGAAAGAAATGGTTAAATTTTATGTTTTTTGGGTCAAAAATGGGAAAACCTTATTTTTAACCCCATAAAACCCCCGTTCCCATAGTCCATCATGCTAGTTCGCGAACTCGTTCGAATAAATGTAGGTTTACACGTTTATACCAAATTTCATCTAAATCGGATAATTTTTGCTCTAGTTATTGGGCTAACGGACACACACACATTTACATATATATATGTTTATATATATATGAATTTTAACAGATGGTGTTTTCGGCGTCTAGGGACCTCAAAACAAAAAAAAAATCGGCCCCGCATCCAGGTCTTACCAGGAATACTACGGTAATAGCTTATTCCCTATATGGGAAATTCGCTAAAAGCATGCAACTGCTACATTGTTAGTGCTAGACTTAATACACTCGTTGATGTTTTAAAACACTTTGCGCTAAACCTCATGCATAAGTTCTTTCAATTTGAATGTTACGTCTACCATAACGTGACAGTAGCATTAACTATCATACAATGTTACTTACGACTTGCTTTGACTTTTCTTCATCATTCAGGAGTAGTTGTTCTAGATTATCGACATCTTCAATTTGTTGCAAGGGGAACATTTTCTCAATGGTGGAGATATCTTCAACGGGCTGTCTCCTGGCTTGCCCTTCTTTAAGCATTTCCAGGATTGTCGAGACATCTACTTTTGTTTGTAACATAGTTCTCTCCATGGTATCAATCTGATCTAAAAAAAAAGAATAGGCTAGATTCAAACCAACATATGTAAATGTTTGTGCATGTCAAATAAATACTTGTTCTTAGGTTTCCAACGACATTTTTACAACAATCTAAAACAAATTGAATCAAAAATATGTAGGCTGCTTAAGTTTTTGTTGTAAATTCCTAGATAATAAAGATATTATTTAAATTTTTTTTTTAATTTGAAAGTACCAGTACCTACATCTTTATAACGTTCAATGTTATATATCTCTAAAGCAACTAAATGAAGATTAGCTAAATTTCAAACTTTTCTTCCTTATACAATTTAGACTACAGTATTAGTTTTTAACTAAATACTGTAACATCTTAAATATCTAATTGTTCATAGTAAAAAAATAGCAATATGTTTTACTTTGCATTTTATTAAGGCGTGCCTCCAAGGAATCTGCCAACGCAGAGTCGATGGTAGATCTAGGGGACATAATCTGAGGTGTGAATAATGATTTTCTGCCTTTTGAAGTGGATGACGGTGAAGATTCTGGATGTTGGTTTACAAATTGATTTTGCTGAGGAGATGTGAGCTGCCGATATGAATCTTCTAAGTACTGTGGTGATGTTGTGGATGGTGTGTTTTGAATTTGAGGTGAAGTATTTGTAAGATGGCCAGAAGTGAAGTTGTGGATGGATGATGTATTACGTTGTTGTGTGTGGATATTTTTTTGAATTCCCTGAGAATATTTATTCTTGAGTGGACTTTTTTTCGTTGCCTTCTTTCTCGACGGATCAAAAATCGGCAGATCATCTTCTTTCTCACTGTCGCTACTGCTGCTTAATATGCGTGCAGGCTTCGTTATTCGTCTTTTCTTTTTACCCCCTTCTATATCCGTCCCAATATCAGAGGTCGATTGGGCTAGTTTTTCCTTGTGGATGGCATCTAGAAGAGAATCTGAAAAAAATCCAAAGTAAACAAACTTAGACATTTTGTGGGAGACTGGAAAACCTAAAGTATGCCAAAACATGACAACTATTTTTACCAGTAAAGAACAAATCTTCTCGACTTGTTCCCTTTCCTGTCTCTCTCAACAGCTGGCCGGCTGTGGTGCACTGCTCTAGCGAGCGGCCAAAGAATTACTGACAAGCAGGTTGGCCAAAACAGCCACAGACACTCACTAAAACTCTTTATGCATAACTTACTGTACCGTGTAATTTGATGTGTTGATATCTTTTAAGGTTTTGGTTGATTAGGACTTCTACCATAACTGTTGGCTGCAAAAGTGGTTAAAAATGTATGGTTTCAATTTACATAGGCCAAAATAGGCTTACAAAAATCAACAGTGATATTTAGTTGTCTACCTAAAACTAAAGAAATCTGTTTAGCTTTGTAAATAAAGCGCAAAGGCGAAAAGAGAACTATTGCTTTCCAATGTACTCTCTGAATTAAAAACCATACTCATTAAGGATTGCACATTTGAGTCAATACAATCCTAAATGAACTGAAACAAACAATACAAAGAATGGGCAACTAGCTAGCAAGCAAATTATTAGCAATATGTTTGTGGTAGGGCTATTATCTCTTTAGTCATTTTGAGCTATTGCAATTGCTTAGCTTTCACCTTTGATAATTGCCTAAATTTGTAAATAAAAGTTATTTTATAAAAACATTATTCTATAATTACCGCTAGATCCTAGGATTCTAACATCCCACACTTCCCACACTGAGTTGGGGGGCTCTTTTTTTGCCAACAATTTTCGAATGTTGCCTTCTGGCCAGTAACATTTTTCAGGAGATATAAGCCAAGATTTCAGTACAGTGCCCACACTAGGAGCACTGATAAATTCAACAACCACATAATCTTCTAACTTTTCCATCTCTACATATTACTGCAATCTGAAAAAAACAAAACTATTTAGACTAGCCTATTTCTTATGACAGATAGACATAACAGCTCCTGTTGTTTTAAAATATACTACTACGAAATAATTAAGTTATTAAAATAAATCTTAACTCTTCCTCCGTTATTTAATTAATAATTCAAGTATTATATTAGTTTTAACAAGTCTGGTGTTATGAAAAGCTTTTTTGTTTATTTAAAAATATGTTATTGTTTTCAACAAGGATGGTAGAAAATTTTAACTTTAGAAATTTTTTAAAAGAAACTAAGATTATAGGACGGTCATTTAGCCTATAATACATTCTGTAGGAATATGGGAAAATAATATGATATAGGAAACAATTTCAAAGTAACTTAATGATATATAGGCTAAATTTGAGAATAACAAAAGTATAAAACTACAACTTGGGCATAACCAAGTAGGCTACAAACTTCCAAGTTGTTTGAGTTAACAATTTTGTTGAACTAGGCCCACCTAATAAATACAGTATTTAAGGTGTCAAAATATATTACTTGTAGTAAAAATTTTAAATTCAAATTCTTTAGTGAGTCAAAACTTTGCATTATTGTACAAAGACAGGAGTGTTTAGTAGATATAACATTGTATCCATTTTGTAAACTGGTATAAACCGTTGGTAAATAAATAAATAAATAGATGTGAGTTTTGGTATTAGAAATGATTAATGTTAGCTCAAAAATTTAATTTTTATCTTAATACAATCCTAAAGAGTAGGCCTAGTTTAATTTGACTACACAGCTGATGAATGAATCTTGGTTTTTACACAGATTAGATAACTAAAGCAATTAGTAGTATAAATAACCTTCTGTAATTAGCGTAGATGACATGGTTCCATTTTGATTCCTGTGTTGTAGCCTAGATAACTTTTTCTTGCATAGATGTTTGTGTTTTAAAATATTTTGATGATTCTTTTTATTGATTTGTAGACACTTAAGTATTACATAGTACATTAAAAGTGAAGAAGTTATCAGTACAGATGATAAAATATAAAACTGCGCTATTGTATTGTTATTAATGGTGTAAGAGAACAGCTACATAGCGATGGGTTAGACTGATGGGAAAGTTGAGGGCTTTGTAGGCTACATCATTAGCACTCCACATGTGTCTAGTGCTAAGATTGGAGACTTTAAAAATACCAACATCGACAGAAGGGATTGGCTTATGAAAAAAACTTGTTCTGGTTAAAAATGTTTTCCCTATGAAAACTGTACTGTTGTTGGAGGTTGCTATGTTTTCCACAATGCAAATGTGGCCGTTCTTTAACTGTACACAATTATCTTTTTCTGAGGTAGATATTGTGAAATTGGTAGACCTGAACTTTTTGAACTGGGGATCAGTACTACCATCAACCAAAGGACCTTCATTATGATTGTCTTCTGTAAAAGGCATCTTATCTTCATCAGACCTACTCCCTGTCCCTGTTGATAGTGACCTCTCTTCAAAAATTCTTCTTACAATCTGCTGTAGAGGTAAAGCACAGTTTCTCAATTTTCTTTTCAATTGTTGAAGGTGGTTTTCAAATTTGAAGGCACTGAAATTGTCAAGTGGGCCAAAAATTCTAACATCCTCTGACAGATGAATTATTGAATGAACATTGTATGAAATTTGTTCTTCCCCATACAGACTGTTGAAATGATCAAAGAAATAAATTAACAAATCATGTGCTACATCTAATTTGGTTTCTATGAAAAGAGGACTAGCCATAATTCTAATTGCTGAGCTTAATGCAAGGAAATGGGTAAAGTTTTTCTTAGGTAAACAATCTTTCAAAACAAAAGGCCCAGTGTACAATAGCAGTTGCCTAAATTCAGTAGCTTAGTAGCTCAGTAGCTTTCAGTAGTGATAGGCTTTCCACCTATCAATCTCCTTCAAAGCCCTAGGTTTCCTAGCAAACTCATTTGGCACAAGAGATTTTATTTCTAAGAGTTTCGTGGAAATCTGACTTGTTATATTGTTTCCCAAACGAACTGGATATTTACCTCTCATCCACAATAGCATTAATTTCCTCACTACTCCTAAACATATTGAGTGCATATAATCGTATGGGAAATTTGTGACCATTTTAATACCTTTGATCTGCTCTAAGATGGAAATACCAACACGATGATTTTCATGTAAGTAAAAGTTATCATCATTGCGAGGTTCTGCATTCTTTTCTGGAAACACAACCCTGCCCTCAACATATACTCCTTTAGTAACACATTTGTCGCAGCCATAGTAACCATTATGGTTTTTAATTTTTTTGATAAATGCTTTGGCTGGTGCGTCACATGTAAATGCTGATATTTCAATGGTGAAATGTTGACCGTGAAAAGTAATACCACTTTCCAAAACTTGATTTGCTTCATTGACAAAATCAAACAAAAAATCATTGCAACAGTCTGGCTTGGAAAGGCCATGGTAAATACCTATTACAAAAGGACTTGTAGGCCTATTTAAAATATTGAAGGAACCTAAGATAGGCCAGAATTGGCTTCCAGAGCTCTTAGCGAGTGGAGTCCCGTCAACATTGATCTGCAATTTTATAGGACCTGGAATTAATCTTGTGATTGGAATATTTTTTATTGATTCAATGATCCCATTCTCAATACCAAAATGAAAATAGTTACCAGGAGGTACAGTTTTTATATTATATGATTTTGGAGTTTTTAACACAGTTCTGCTATCTTTAGGCAAGTCTTTAAAACATTTATGTTGCCTCAAAATGCATAGTAGTTCGTTAAAGTTTGATTGAGAAACATTTCCTAAAGTTGCCCATACAGCCAGCTTTTCCGACAAGTCCTGTGCATTTTCAAGAGATTTTCCTGTGCCAGAGCCATCAAATGCTCCATTTATTATTCTGCTGTCTGGTGTTTCTAAAAGTAGGGGCTCCTCTTCATCAGAAGAGTCTGGAGGCTCAGTGAACTCACTGTCTGAAATGTACACAGAACGACTGTCTTCTGAATCACCAATTAGGCCTAAATTTAAAGCAGATGTTCTAGGTAAAGTAGGAACATCAAGGTCATCAAGTGTTGCTTCATTTTGGTTTAAATTAGAAATGACAGAAGTCGAGGTTGGAATTTTGGAATTAAAAATAATCCTATTTCTGTGTCTTTTACTTATCTCTCTTAAATTCTTAAATTTTCTTTTAGGCATTGTAAGTTTTCATTCTCAAATTGATCTAAAAAAAAAAAAAAGTTCAAGTTATAAAGTTATACAAACATTACCTAACTAACGTTTTGCAAGGCATAGGCCTAATCATGAAACTGCAGCCTTCTGGGGGTAGGCCTACAGTTCCGAAGAGAACCTGTGATGTATTAAGGGTTCGTTCTACCTCAGCTTTGATTTCTCAGTATGAAGTTGCTTAATGCCCATGTCCCTATTATAGCCTACTATTGTAGGCTATTGAACAGCGCCATGAAAAGCGCTTGCAAGCCTTTAGAATATGATCGATTACGTCATTATATCCTTATACTATTTAATAAAGTAATTTCAGATGTTTGTTTTTAAGAATCTATTGGAATTCTCCCGTTTGTGTATTTTTCTCAAAAGATTATTTCTAGTAGGCCTAAAACTTATGATAAAAAACACGTAGCCTACGGTATTTTAAAATTTTTACCAAACATTAGGCCTATAGCCCAACATCTCTTAAATTGGTACCGTACTTTCCTGTTAAAGGGAACATTCATTATTATCGATGATTTTTTTTATATATCGATGATAACGTTACGATACCTATTTTTGTTTTCCGATCTAGGCTATTACAAATTGACAACTGATTTTGTTTAGGCTAAAATAGTCTATTAAGTTATAAGTTATGGATTAAGAAATTAAACTGTTCTTAGCTATCCTAACATAACCAACCAAACTTGCAGTAGGTACCATTTAAATATTCCATTTGATAACAGAAAAGGCAAGTTAAACACGGAATTTTTAAATGTTACAGCAAGTTTGGTTACTTATGTTAAGTTATTTTTTTAGAACAGTTTCATTTCATTATTGATTGCTGATACTGAATCGTAGTTGTCAGCTGATATATGTTTCAATTTGTTAATAGCCTATCGATACATCGAGAAAAAATCATCGATAATAATGAATGTTCCCTGTAACAGGAAAGTGCCCTTAAATTATCTAAATTTTAAAAAGCGGGAAACGTACAATATCATTTTACAAAAATATGACACCAAGATCTTTTATTCACTATTGGAGCTACAAACAGTAAGAATTAAAACCCTTGCATTTGCTTGCGCCAGACGATTTATCGATATTTTTCAGGATCAATATTACCCTAGGCCTACCTACTTAACTTTATATTGCTTTGAATTTAATTTTCCCAGATAACTTAGAAGGTAGGCCTTACTTAGACTGACTTTTTTGTTTTCTTTTGTTAACCTCCTTCTAGACAAATAGCCTAACTTAAGCTAGGCTAGATATTTTGCTAGTAGGCTATATTTTTTTTGTGGTTAAATATACAAATAGGCTAGTTAATATCAATATAAACGTAGGCTAAACAAATCATAGCTCAATTTGATGTTTACATTGGGAAGAACATTTAAGTACGGTACATACTTAACTTAATTTAGGCCTACCAAAGATATTTGTCATTACGTTATCTATCTGTTCACAGATCACAGGTTCTCTTCGGAACTGTAAGTTAAGTTAGGCCTAGGCCTATTTTTAAAGCAGAGGATACGCGTCCGGTAACCGGACGTAGACTAGGTGTCCGGCAGTTACTGTCATAACCTAAACTAGCCAACCAAACATTGCTGATAATGAAAAAATAGAATAACTTAAAGGTTAAATTCTGTTCATAAAATAAAATTATAAGTTACTTAACCCTTCGAGTGTCCATAGTTTAGGCCTTAATGTCCGCCTATTTTTTGCGCATTTGCAAGGTTTTATTATAAAAAAAAAAAAAAAAAACGGATCTTAGAAACTTAAAAACAATGTAAAGTATACTGTTTTATATATAATTTTGTTTGGAAAATTATGGGCTTCAATGTAACATATAAAACATTGCAAAAAAAATGTTCAACAATTTTTGTGGGGTTAACATTTCTCAAAAATTATAAAATAAATTAAAAAAATTTATGTTTGCGCTCAATAAATTGTTATAGCCTAATTTATAGGTCTACAAATATTTTAAAATAAGTTAGCCACTTTGTTCAGAATTTTATGAGGATTCCAAAATATAATAATATAAGGAAGTAGTTTGCAAATAAATAAGTTATGGGCAAAAAACCGATTTCGGTACATAGCGTTTAGCTAAGAATGCATACTGTAGCCTAACCATAGCTAGGAATCTGGCTAATAATTTACATCAATATCACTAGCCTACCTACTTCTTCAGGATCATCAACCAGTCCTTCAAAATCACTCAAATCTTCTTATAATGCACCACGTATATCACTACTTTTGATTTTTAACACTAAAACAATGATAAACGTAATAAAACACATCAGTCATCGGTGCGAGGTTAACCAAGCTGTTTACAAATACGCACGTCAGCTGTCTGCTACAATATTTTCGGAACTAAAATGAAGAAACAGGCATCAGGAGAAAGCTCTGAATCTGCTGAAAAGAACGATACCTAACTCGATCCAGTTCAATCCGATTCAGTCTGTCATAGCTGAAGGGGAGCCTTCGCCGTAAGCGATGTTTGTATGTCGAAAAATCGACAAGTGACACTACACAAAGTGTGTTATGAGTAGATTTTTCGACAAGTGACACTCGGAGGGTTAAATGCCAAAAATTCTAACAAAAGATAAAATGCCTACAGTGGGTACACTTCTATCTGTTGGCACAAACAACCGAATGAGTATTTTTTTTCTTAATATCGATCGATATATCGATTATTCAATATATCGTTTGGTTAGTTAAGATAGGTAAGGTTAACCTAACCTAACTTAGAACCAACCGATATATCGAATTAAACAATCAAATAATCAATATTACTCATTCGGTTGTTTGTGCCAACAGATATGGAAGTTTACCCCTTACGGTTAAAAATAAGTGTAATTCAAAGCAAAATCTTTGACAAAAAGTTATAGGTACCGATGGGTTTCGAACCAGGGACCTCTTGCATATCAGCTGAGCACTCTATCCACTAGGCCTAACTTACACCACGAACACCGATGGCTGTGCATCGTAGGCCTAATCATTGTGGTAATGGCGTTGTTGGACCCCACAACCCGGTGACGTCTGGTTACCGGACGCGTATCCTCTGTGTAGATTTAAACATGAGAATTACACTATTTAGTCTTAACTGTGTATGCCAAACTTAAGAATATGACAGGTTAAGTAACTTAGGCATAACTTAAGTTTTGCTCCCGGTACGGTATTTGTAAAGTAACTTAGGCCTAAGTTAGGCCTAGCCTATGCCTAACTTAACTTAGCTTGTCTCCGAGCTAAATAAGTTCAAACCAATGACTTAAGTTATTGCAATGAATTAGGTCTAGGGTATCTCCTGGAATTTGCTTTTTTTAGTTTTGTAAACTGCAGCCTAATTTTTCCCTAAAGAGCCTCCATCCATAAGGTAGAGTACTTAGTTAAAAGGATTTGGGAAGGCTAACTTAATTTATCTATTTCCACTTTATAAAGTATGCAAATTAGATTAGCACCAGATAGATGGATATATTTGTTTGATCATTAACTTAACTTAAACGTTATAGCCCCTACCGGTACATAAAATGCAATATAGGGCCTAGATCATGTCAATAAATAGTAAGCAAGGTAAACAGAGAGATACATGCAATCAATTAAGTCCACCATTCGAGTTATTAAAAAACATAGGCCAAAGATCATAGTAACTTACAATAACGAAAATAATTAATTTGTCTAACTTACCTTAAACTTCTTACTTACACGTAAACTCAGACTCAGAGACAATCACAATAAGAAGACAAGATGGCGGATCGATCGGATGCTGGCCGGCCTAATTTGCTAAATTGCTATTGCTCCCATAATGCATCAGCGTTCAGCGTCGAACCCAAAAAAACGCACAGACTTGGATATCTCGCGCGGCAGCATGAAGATGAATATTCATCTTCTGTGAAGTGTGAATATTATAGTATGCATTACAAAAATACATTTTACACAGGGTGTTGAAAAAAAGTAGGGAAATAAATCAAAAACAATCAATATCTCTATCAATATCACTATAATTTCTTTTTCGTTTGAATGTATTTTTATATTGATATAAAATACAAATATTATCTGTATCATTAATACCTATACTTATTTTACTGGATTCTCAAAAGTTAATTTATGCCCCCAAAACAACATTTAGGTGAAAATTTACACTTTGTTTCTTCATTTTATAGTATTTTAAGCAAAATTTATTTTGGATATAAATGTATTTACATATTTATATACAATACGTATATTATCTGTATCATTAATACATATACGTTGTTTATACCTTAATCCAGAATATTTACGTATTATATACATTGCTTGCTACATGGGAATGATGCAGTTTGCGAATGAGGAATAATTTATTTTGTCCGGCTATGATTTCTGTTGATTGTACAGCCGTTGATGTTTGCAGCTCCAATCAACATTGCAAGCAGAAAAATAGCTACATCACAGTGATTGTATACCTATTGCCATAGATAAAACATAAAGTGTTGGTTAGTCTATGCTATTGCTAAGTACGATTTACGACTGCATTGCATATTTTCACAAACATATTTGCTCCTTTAAGCGAATTCCCCATTTAGAGAATTATATTTGGTTGGGCGGTGTTTTTCCCCCGAGGATATGAAAACAAAAATAGTTTCATTTTCACGATATAATTTGTTTCTTTTTTAATAATCTTTATCATTTTTATATTCTCTGCATTAGCTTGTCAATCATCGATCATTTGTACAAAGCTTCATAGTAGCTCAAGGCAGCTGGCCTTGACACGTACAAAAACACATTTCTCTTACAGCTGAGTCAATCTCGAGTTCACGACGCCCCCCCCCCCCCACAAAAAAAAAACCAAAACCAAAACCAAACAAACTAAACTATGCGGTGTTATCTTTCATGTTTCGTTTGTTATTTGTTTTTAATGAACTTTGAATGTTTATTATGTTGCCTGTAACTATCATACTCAAGAGAAAAATTTAGATTTATAATTTAATTAATTTTCAATAGGCCTATAACTGAAAAAAGTTGAAAATGAGTGTCAATAGCTATACGTGCAAACTAAATCTACTAAACAGTGATAATGTATGTGCTATTCATTCGGAGTGGTCTAATTCAAATGTAAAGTTTTTGTTAATACATGATAACCAAGCTTGGAGTGGAGAGGTAGGTATTTTTCCAATTGTTGCAATCAAACTTTACAATTATTAGGCCTATCATTCTTTTGGCAACAGTTTCGTGTGATAGGATGGGCTAGCCTAAGGCTCAATCATATTTTCAAACGATATTGAACCTTGTTTCCGGATTAAGCCCCATCTTGCTGGTTTGTGAACTGAATCAAGTCTCTTTACCCTAGTCCTACCCAAACATTCATGCCAAATTTTAGAAAATTTCACAAATCCGATTAGAAATACCGTAGGCCTAGGCCCTAATCATGTTCACGGACATATCTAATGCTATAAGTTATGACTAATAGGCTAGTGTGTCTAGGCCTCTGGGGTCATAAAAATGAACTATTAAATCGGCCCTGGATATTATAGGTCTTACCGTACCACCTATGGTAATAGCTTCTTCCCCATAGGATATAGGCTAGGTAATTTGCGGAAACAAACTCCATATTCAAAATACACTGAACGCTATTAGCAGGCTTCTAGCGGTACTACTATAGCTAGTCTGTAAGGCCCAATTCACACAGAACGGAGGTCAGGCGGAGACTTGGCACGGACATGGCATAGACGTGGTGTGTACACACACTGAAAGGACGGTACAGTGTCAAGAAAACTTGTATGTAGACTAGACGCTATGGTTTTTGCTTATTTCTTTAGTTATGTATGTCAATTGAATTATAGTTATTTTTTTGTCAACTGAATTAGTTATTCCTGTCACTTAATTAGAACAACTGTGATCGTAGGCCTACAAACAAGGGAATTGTTCAACTTCCTCACAAAATCTGATATTGAGTTCAATGTCGTCTCGCATTGTAAAAAAAACAAGAAACTACTCACAATTATTCTAAACACAAACCAAAAACAAGGTTGGTAAGTACGATAATTGCAGTTGGAACAACGGGCGTGCTACGGGCATGCCACTTCCGATACGCTACGAGGGATGGCGAAGCCACATGGTGGTGGTGGGAGGGTGGCCGCCGGCGCCACGTCACTTGTGTGTGCATTGACCAATTTGTTTACACGGAGAGGCGAAGAAGAGACATATATGTCCTTGCCTTGTCCGTGCCACGTCTCCGCCCGACATCCGTTCTGTGTGAATTGGGCCTAGGTGAAGAGATCTTCATAGATTAGTCCACGTAGCGTGCTCGCCTACTAAATTTTGTAGACTTTTCCTGTGAATGGACACAACTCTAAACCCCTAAAGTTAACCACACTAGAGAGGTGTTTTTTTCTTCTTGTTTTTCACAGGGCCATTTTTCAGACTAGAGGAGATAAAACTAAATGTTATTTAAACGTTAGCTAACTTACCTAGAATACTACAAATTCTAGATGTAGCTAACCAAAAACTAGACTACTAACCAGGTCTTTTAGAAGTAAAACATTGTTTATAAAGTGATACTTAGGCTATATGAATTTTATACAGTTACAGTTGACAGAAAATGAAGGCTACATAAATGAATTGCTGGATCAACTATCTTTGTCCAAAGATATGTACATAGAAGAATCTAAAAAGGCTTTGACAACTCATGGTGGTGTTAATAACTTTGTCTACACTCTAGAAAATGACAAATTCATCTGGAAGAAATTGGTCAGAAATAATATGTCTGTGAAATTCGGAATCGTAAACTTAACAAAAGTAAGTAAACCTTATTATTACAAGCCCATAATAGGATAAGGCCCCGTCCTAGCTGGACGGCAAGAGCGACCCGACCAACGGTCGCTGCTGTCAGTGACAAAATGTGTGTCCACACTGAGCGGTGCGACAAGGCGATTCGAAATGGACTGAGGCAGCTGTGGTGGATGCCGCTTTGTCGCGTCGCTGGTGTAGTGCTGCCAAATACAAACATGTTTGTGTCTTGAAGCTCTTGTAGCTAGACCGACAGGAGCGATGCCGCTGTTGCTTCTCAGTTAGGACACTCCCATTACTTATCATGTGTTTGTATCTGTCGCTCTTGTCGGTCGCGTCGGTCGTGCCTCTATTGCTGTCCAGCTAGGACCCCCCCTGACTAAACCTACTTTGAGGTACGGTACTTTGACTCTGACTTTGACTTATTTGGACAGTTTAGTAAATATAAACTTGACACATGAAAATCAAAACAACTTCCTTTAATAATCACACTAAATTCAAATTTTTACCTTGACAGTGTTTCTTTTGAAAAAATTAGGCTACAATTAAAAAGACTTTATAACTTTATAAGACTTTTATACGACGGCATATGTGTCTTGTTAGGATCAAAAACTATACAGAGCACTTTCAAATTCCATCATTTTGTTTATTAACACGTTCAGTGCGGCAGGCATTCCAACAGGCGCTCGCCAATGGCGGCGAGGCCCGGGCAAAGCCCCGGCACGGTTCCGTAACAGCAAACGCAATTGCATTCAACAATTTCAATCTAACAAATAACAAAAGAGCAGCGGCGATTGTACTACGTTACCCCGAGATTGGACGTAGTTCCCTAAAACACCCAAAGTTAGCAGCACTTCCTGGATCAGTAGTCAGTGGTTTTGTAATATGGCTTGAAGTGAGAAAATCCCCAAAACCGGGACAAAAGCATTTTCAGACTGGATTTTACGGGAAATTTTAGTACCAACCTACACCAAAATAAAGCTCACATTCTAAGCTCAATTTTATAGTTAATTCTTTGGCGTCAAGATCAACAACACCCAATTGATACTTTCAAATTGAATACCGTTACATATTATGGCGTGAACAGTTCTCCTTACTTAGCCATTCGGACACTTCCCACCACTGACACATTTTCCTATAAGCATGACATTTCTACATCTGATAACCATGGTTTACAGGCTAGGAACAATTTTAACGTTCCCTGGCAATGGCTGAGCTCATACTGAACTAATGTAGTGGGGATTGCGCAACTACATCAATTGATGTAGACCGCTTATGGCGCGACTACATCAATTGATGTAGTCAGCAGTGAATGTGTTAACATAATTTATAAACATATTTGTGAAGCAATCATTTAATAACCTTAAAGATTGGGCTTTTCTATGACCAAATAAAATAAGGCCTTTTTGATTATTTTTGAATGTATTATTTAATAAATTGATTTTGCTGAAAATGGTTTGAACACTAGGCTTGTAAAAAAACATCTAAAATTAAACTTTTTATAAATAATCATAAGTCCAATAGCTCAATTACTAGAATACTCAAGTTCAGAACCAATTCTTCTTAGGACCGAACGAGCAACTTTCAGATTTAAGGGCTTACACAATTAATTGTTAAATACATTTTGAAGAATGTGTAATCTCTACCAAATGTAAAGCAATTTGATGATTCTATGTCAGTGGGAAACATCACAGTAAATACTGTACAGGATTTGAAGCAGATTCTATAATATAATATGCCAAGTTAATTTCAGAATACCATCACATCCAACTAAGTCTAAGCCCACTGGATATTAAACACATTTTAATCAATATTTTACCTCACATGTTTCTGGTTTAAGGTGCCACTGTCAGAAGCGTTTGAGAAGGTTTTGGACAATACTCTAAAACTGAATGCGAACTTATATACAAAACTTCAAGATAGTGATTGTCGAAGAAACACTTTGGAAGCAGGTAAGGACAATTTGTATTCTGTGTTAAAAAATAAATAAAAAATTTAAGTCAACCAAAGTGAACTATATAACTGAGTTTGTGGTGTGGCCTTTTAAGTTAAGTAAAGTTCTACTGTTGCTGCCCATGACTATAATGTATGAAGTTAGTGGATAGGCCCAACTGGGGAGGATGTTACAAAATAACATTTTATGGACGTACATGAACTGACACGACACTGACACACTTTTAAGTTTCACTAAGCAGTCTCAATTTCTACAAACACTTCCGCTTGGCCTATTGATCCATACCACGCATATAAGTATGGATATTGTATCATTTTTGCTTGAGTTATCATGCTAACGGACACACACATATATCTATACTATCTATACTTCTATACTATTATATAAAAATCTAATGGTGTCTGTCTGTATGTGTGTTACTAATAGGTGCAAAAACTACTGAACCAACTGGGCTTAAATTTTACAAAAATATAGCTACCATACCAAGGACCATTATAGGACTATTCACATTTTGATACTGACCGTAGGCTTTGCCCCTTTGGCTTTAAAAGTTCTGAGGTGAGGATTTTAAAAGTAAATATTGATTGGTCTCCATGGCTGCGATGAGAACATTAACAATGTTTGTTTACCTTTGCTTTGACATTTAAATGTAAACAAGAAGAACTGCTAAACTGCATACATTTAACAATTTCAGACAGCTGATACAAAGAAATTAAATATAATATTTTCCATCACTATGAAGTAGGTTTATTTTAATCTAACCTTTTATCATGGATTATTTATTCTAAATCTATGTCAATGGTTATAGAAAAAAAAGATTCTATAACCGTTGCTGTATCAACTCCGGCTCTACTTTGGATTTTTTTAAAGCGTCTAAGTTATGAAAATAATGTTATTGATATGTTTTCATGGAAACAGTATGAAAATTACAATGTATGGATGTTTTGTATGAATTTTGAGGCTACTTTAAATAAATTCTAACTGCTTAACATGTGTTGGATTAACTTAACATAACTTGCACATCACATTGTGTTTTATATGTATATTTAGGTAAATTAAGTTTTTGTGTTTTGCTAAACCTAATGCTTAAATTAAACTAAAGAATATCACCAATAACTAAATTGTACGTCGTTGATTTTTGTTTTCTAAAATCGGTTGTATATGTGTAACTATATTTAATTATCAAACGGTAATACAAAATACTCTTATTTTATCTTAACATTCACATTTCCTTTATTTGATACATTTATTATTTGTGTTTTGCCACACCACTGATTAAATTAAACTAAGGAAAATATCATAAAACTAAGCAGTACACAGTATTCTTTTGTTTCTAAAATCAATGAAATATCTATTACTATGTTTACTTAATGGTAAGTGTGAAAATTTAATGGCAATGGACGATGGAACTGATTAAAAGAACTGATTTGTATATAAAGTTGTTTGTTGATAATTTTGTAGAGTAGAATCAGAGATGCAATGAAACATATACTGTATTTGCTATTACATTTTTTACTCCTTGATTCTTTGATAATCATATTAGTTTTGTCTGCTGTCTTAAATGTTAAATTATTTGTTTAACATTTTTTATAGTACCTATAGATATAGTTTCTTTAATATTTCAAAAGACTGTATTGATAAGGCACAGCAATATATCTAAAGTTTATAACAGCTGACTTAGTTTTGCTAATTATTTATTGTGAGTGAAGAAACTGAAGATGGAAGGATTTGTGATTTAATATAAAGAAGAAAAAAAAAATGTTCATTTACATTCAATAATTAGTATTTTTGCAACTTCAAAAATGAATTTTAAAATGTCAATAATAAATTAAAAGATAAGTAATTAAGGGAGATGAAAGTAAATCATGTATGTCAAAGTTTTATTCGAAGATTTGTTCAGTTTTTCTCATATCAGTCTACACAAGATTCAAAATTAAACAAAACCAAAATGGTGGTATCCACTACTTACCAGATATAAAAGTCATAACTTAAACGTTTCTATTAAGGCTATAAAAGTTGAATTTTCTTTCTAAAAGCAATGGCGGGTGTGTAACTATTATATGCAACAGATGTAAAGATTAAAATGTTTCTATTTTGTGTCCTCTTCCCGTTGCAAAGCACGGGTACAACAGCTAGTCTATTATATTATTAAAGTGATACAATAAAATTTTATGTAAACGGTTAAGGCCATTTATCAAATAAAAATATAGACATATGGCATATCAAAATGAAGCTTAAAGAGTACGTGTAGATTTGCCGAAAAGTATTGATATGGACGAACTCCCTAAGGGCTCTGCCTCACAGGCTGATTTCCAAAGGGCTATGCCTTGCATGTTTTGGAAGTTAACGTTATTTGATTAATTTAGTGGACAACAGCTGGCCAATGCAATTGACAATAGTTTGCTTGTTTACATTTTTGTTTACTTATTTTATCATATACTTTTATGTTCATTCTTAAAAGAGGTGCGGTGAATAGACAGTGAAGCTATTTCTAGCTGTTTGATACAAGTGAGTGATTAAAGGTGTTCTAAACACGATGAATATGAGATTAACAAACCAAGTATGTTGTTCGTTCCAAGAGGTCGTCACCGATCTTTAACAGGTCGCAATTTCATTGAAAAGTATTAAAGTATAAAAGACGTTGGTACAACCGTACCCACCTCGGCCACCTTTGGACATAAGGTATGAAGGTTCCACTGCTTTTAACATCCGTTCAGATGACAATTTCTTGAACATTACCTCTTGTATATACCTATATACATAGGCCTACATAGAGAGAGGCCCTATATGTAATGAATTTGAACGGATGGTCTTTTTAGTCTCTGGGGTCATGAAAACGAAAAAGTATATTGGTCCCGGGTCCAGGTCTTACCTTGAGACCTAAGGTAATTTAGCTTATTTCCCATATGGGAAATCCGCTAAAAATATATATGTTATATGTGCATTGATCGCAATACCGAATGACTAAACCGCAGCGGGTGAGGGCTGCACAGTGAAAATAACCGCTAACTCAATTACCACCGAATGGTTGCTACTTACATCGCAGTCTCTTCTACGTGCTTGCTGTAGGATTAGCAACTCTCACTAGAGATGCTCAAGATCTCTACAACGTTCATGTGTACAACGTTCCTATTTCCCCACATTTAATACAAAGAGTTGGTTTGTAAAAAAAATTAGCTAGTTTGTATTCGTAAAGGTCAAAATTCAACCCTACAGTACTGTTTTAGTTTGGTTTAGTTTTTTTGGTGCCTTTGAATATTCATCGACGCCCACAAATCGATCACTCCTAAGGGTTGAGAATTACTTCTAGACATTGTACGTACACTCCATTCATTAAGTATCGGTACTAGTTCACTGCAGCCTTAGGATTGGTTCCAAGAGTGGTGGAGGGGGGTTCGACCAGTCGGGTTTGATAGAGAGATCCTTCATCAATCAGGAGCATTTTGGTTTAGTCGCCTCGGGCACTTGTTGAGACAGGTAGATATTAGCACAGAGTATTTTTTCATTGTGTCATCATGGAGCATTGTGTGTAAAGTTTTGTTTTAAACTCACAAAATCTGTGTCTTAGACTCTTGCCCTCATTATACAGGTTTATGGGATGCTTTAAGCCGCAGAAGATTTTTTGAGTGGCACCAAATGTTTAAGGAAGGCCGGGAACTCGTTGAAGACAAGTACTGAGTTAGACGCTCGATGACTGCTCGAACCGAAGCTCACGTGGTCAAAGTGAAAGAAGTTTTTTCGATTCTGACAGGCGTCTAACCATCGTCCACACCAGTGAGAAGACCGGCCTTTCAGTGAAAACCGTCCACACTATCGTGAAAGAGAATTTGGCGATGAGAAGAGTCCACGCGAAGCTGGTGCTGTAAGTCCTGAGCAAGGAACAAAAACTGTCATAGGTGGAGATTTTGTAAGAAATCTTGGTTTGCGTCCAGGAAGATCCATATTTTCTGGACATTGTTATTGGCCTACCTGGGTTCCAGTATGACATGGAAATAAAATGTTCAAGTTGAGGGCAAGGACCTCCGATGCAGATTTTTCGAGTTTAAAGCAAAACTTCACAGCGTTGCTTGATGATATGGTGTGAAGACACTGTGAAAAAAACATTTGGCGCAAATATCGCCCTCCTGTCTCAACAAATGCCCGTAGGCGACTCAACCATAATGCTCCCTGATTGGTGAAGAACCTCTCTATCAAATCCAACCGGTCAGACCCCCCTCCACTGCTCTTTTGAGGCTACGGTGAACCAGTTCCCATACTTAATGAATGAACCAAGAATTTAATACTGAATATATAACCTGGTAGCAGGATTACTGAGGGCTTTGAGAAGTCTGTAGTTGTGCAATAGATTTTGCAGAATAGTATTCTTAAATCCAGGGACAATATGACTCAGAGTAAAAGTTTATTTTATAAGCTTGAATTTTTTTTATAGAAAACGGCATTTTAAAAACCAAATTAAATGAAGTCTTGGAGAAAAAGAAGGAAATGGAAGAAACATTGTACAGCCAGTTTTTAAGAGTTTTGAACGAGAAGAAAAAAAGAATACGGGAGCTGAAAAAAGAAGCCCCTATACTAGAAGGTTTGTTTTCATTGTATTACTTCATTTTGTGTTTTTGAAATTAATATAGTAACCCAATACCTCTTGCCATTTGTTTTTAATGGTTAATTTTCAATATGTGTTTTTTATATGCATTCTTCAAATATGTTATTTACTTAAATAGTATTTTACAATTACAATTATTTCAAAGTACCTATGTGAAATCTTTAATAGACTATATTTTTGAGTGATGGGACCAAGTTGAGTCCACATTATCGAGGTTATAAGTATGGTTTGTAAATTATGATTTTATTAATCTAGGTATTTATATGTCAACTAAACTATTTACAAAGACCCCAACTTGTTTTAATTTGTTTAGTTTTAATTTTAATTGCCATTCTAGTCATGTTTTTCATGTAGGTTAACTTTGTTTTTAAATTTAAACTATGTATTGATCTATAGTTCGGCCGCTTAGAAAACGACCTGCGCGCTAATGCTAAACCAATGCTGGAGGAGGTCGCTTTCTAAGCGGCCGAACTATAGTTGTCTTTTATTTACTTAAAGTCAACCTGTTTCAATATTTAATATAGCTCATCTGGTATGTTTTGTACGTACTCATCCCACCTTAAATTCTATTTTTACTTCCTTTTTTTATTTAGTCATACATTATGTTTACCATTTTGACTCAAATTCTGTATCTAGTCACGTGTCATCTACCATTATCAGATTTTAAACTAGGCCAGCTTATTAAAACTTATCTATTTAATTTATCTTTGTTATTTATTTTATTTTCAATTACATCGTAATGCTATGTATCAAAATTCTTAAAAAGACAAATCCCATTGCATTGAATATGTTTAACAGACAATAAAGATTCATATTCTTATCGATTTAACAAATTAACGTTTCAGATGCAACGCACCAAGAGGAAAGTGACCATTTTGATTCAGACACTGTAACAGATTCTGAAGAAGAGAAGATGTTAACTGTATCCAAAACCATTCTCAAAAATAATCCTCTCGGCTCAAAAGATAAACATGTAACTCCCCCTAAGAGATCTAGGAAGGAAACACAAATTGAAAGCGTTGCTGGGCCTAGTGGGGAAAATTTGAAAGGAAAGACCTCAAAGACCGTTAAATCTAAAAAGCTACCAGTAAAAGGTAAAAAGGGACAGACGAAACCCATCCGTGAGAGCTGTGTGATGGGACCAGTGACTGAAGCGAAGGATAAAAATCCACCTGAATTGTCTGAAGATATATTTTTGTTCAAGCAAAACAATAATGCTGCTAAAAGTTCCAAAACCGTAAAGCAAACTACAAGTAGAATTACATTTGAGAATGATGTTTCAGCAGGGATTGACTTAAATGACCAAGTTGTCTGTGATATAAATAAAACGCCCAGTGATATAGATGTAGATCGGACTCCTAGTAATATAAACATAGAGATAACACCTAGTGAGACAGATATAGATAAAACACCAAGTGTTATCGGTGGAATAACCGGTTTAAATGGAAATGCAGATCACGAAGAAAAGGTGAAGGAAAGCAAGACCAAAGATGATAAACCAAATCATGAAATTGTGGAACAAAATAATGAGGGAAAATTAAGTGAGCCAAAGGCTGTTTCTAGAAATTCCGAGGTGACTAAAATAGCCAGTTATAAAGGGTTTTCTAGTTCTACTATGGATATTTTAAACCAGTTAATTTAGTTTAGATCAAACGTTGGCAATTTGAGTGAGAAATGAAACTACAGTATTTTAGGGATGTAAATATTTTTATGATTAAATTAAATAAACTATTTGGGTTACCTTTTAATTAACTGCATAATCATGGATTTGATAACTTTTATCGTGGTTAAAAGATATAAAATTGCTTCCCAGAATTTTGTGTTACATAAAAATTAAAAACTGGTTTACACCAAAATGCAAATATTGTTCACACTAATGGTCATTAGTTTGTTATAAATGTTCTGTACATTAGTCATTGGGTAACAAAAACAATAATGAAACTGTCTTACTGTACAGTGTTGTTCCATTTAGAAAAGAGAAAGCAGCCTCAACAATTAATCAAACATTTAATAAATTCATCTAGTTTTGTTGAGGATTTTTATTTAAGTTTGAATATGTCAATCTAATACAGTACATCAGTCAGTATTAATAGTTTTATATGCAAGTAGATAATTTACAAATGAAATATTTTAGATGAATTAATAAATGAAGAAAAAATCGTTTTATTTGGTTATGAAAATAGCCATTTTTATTAAAATATTTATCCTCAATTTAATTAGTTTCAAGCACATTCTGTTCTAACAGCCTTTTAGTTAGGCCTAATGTAATTTTAAAATATATATTTTTATATGAAATGTGTATATAGGTATTATATCAATTGTTTATATTTTTTAATGCCAAACATGCACATATTCTCGCATATTTATTATGTCTACACTCAATATTTTTATATAAATCCTTGTACAGTAGTTTTCAAATAAATATTTTTCAGTAATTTTTGTTTGTTTGATTATACGAATAAATAAATAATTTTGTTATTAATGTTGTGTAAAAACTTTGTGTGATCATCCACAATCATATTCTCTTTTAGTTTACAAATTAAATCCTCTCTTTTCACCATGCCTTAAATGCTTTAACAGACACATAGGCTGCAAGGATGATGGTAAAAAATGCAAAAGTTCTATTCACTAGTTTTTCTATATACTTTAATATATACGATATGTATATATATATATATATACATTAGCCTATATTATATTCTTTAGTGTGGTAGATTGTATGAAATTATAATAATATATTTAGTTTTCACCGTCCACGCAATCAGGGGCAATACTTCACTACGGCCGTTTCGGAGATAACTCTATCGTCAGGTGCGTAGTGTTACACTAAACTATGGCTTTGTTACACTTAATACGAAAAGTCTTCATTTGCATTGCGTCAGGGGTTGAATAAATATTAAACAAATAAAAACAGGATGGACACAAGAAAACATTTAGAGTATGTGCACGGCTTAAAAACTGACGACCGAACAAGTCCTACAAACACTGCATAATTCTATAAACTCCTCCCAAAACCTTTTGCTATCACTACAAATTTTGAAGCGTGTTTACTGTATAACGTCGCCAAAACAACTGCAGACCAAGTTTGTGGAGCTCATACACGATCCGACATGTAGGTTGTGTCGACCAAGTCCGCTGGGAATTCTCAGTCTGTTTTAACCAAACACGGTCCAACGTGTTAGGACTTGGATGAGTCGGCAGACGTGTCTATCAACATGTCAGATTGTGTATGGGAGGGCTTAAGTCCACACTTACCAAAGAAGGTAAAGGATTTTTAGGCAATGTTTGAACTGAGAACTCTCTGACCGTCCACCCAAATGATCAACATCCGCTCAGAAAATGTATTAAAAGTGTTTCCCCCTTAGTCGTTTTATCTATTTGTTCACCATAGTGACTGTCAATTCAGCTTGTCTATTCCTTCAATGGTTATCACTGGACCCAGCTGTCCCTGATCCTGATCACTGGGCTTTAAATAAATGATCCTTACTGATGAAACAGCTGATCTTTTAGTCAGTAACAAAACTACACACTAGCAGATCATCTCACAACATTCTGCACTCATCCTTCACTCATATTTGGTCTAAAATACGCACCTAGGTGGTCCCCATCTCGACTAATTACCTGTTGATCTCAACTGGGAAACAAAAATGTTTATTTTGTAAATTTAAGTATCTAAATTAGGGTGGACAACTTAAAGGGTTCTATATAATGAAAACATAACACAACATTATAAGATACCTAAATCTGAGCAATGTTGTAACTTTTATCAACTAATATATATTTATTTAAATGATAAATAATTGGGTAAAAATTGGTTATTTTAATTGAAGAAATATGACATTCAGAGATTAATTGTATAAATATTGCTATTACTATGCTCACTGTTCAGTGTATCATACCAAAACTTAATCCACATTTATTAAACAACATAGCCTATTTATATTGTTAATTGATACCTAACATAACAATTATTATCAACAGCTGATTTAGAAATCATATAATCATTGTTTAAAAAAAAGTATGATCCAATATATAACTTTATCATCAGCACAATTATCAACAGCTGATTTATAAATCATATGTCATTGTTTAAAAAAAGTATGATCCAATATATAACTTTATCATCGTTTTCCTGCCCAGTTGTTTGTTGAAATCATAATGTTTAATTATCAAATAAATCTATCTATCTATCCCGCTGGCAGTGAAAATACCTCATTTCGGGAAAATATCCCTCGAAATTACCTCATGGCCGAGTCAGCTGATGTGATGACCAGTCAGTACTTAGTAGTTCGCTGGCCGACCACTAGATGCACTTGTGGCGCCTCCAGTCAGCCCAGTCGTCTGCTGGCAAGATTTATCAATAATAATTTAACCTCTCTAATTGGCAGTCAACAGTCAACTCGGTTCCCTAGAAGAGTGTTAGGTCAGTGGTTTAGTCGTTTGTTTATAAAATGGTGACTGTGTCCTACCAGTGGATTATTTTTATTTTAGTCTGCATCTTGCTGGTAAGTTGTTACTGTAAATCTGTACACGTTCGTGTCGCTCATAAGTTTGTTGATTGTTTACAGTGCTGTTATTCATTTTCTATTCCCTAGTAGGCCCTATATTGTTTACATGTTCGGAAGGTAAATAATGTTGCCATATCTAAGTTATAATTTTAAGAAAGCTGGTTGTGTGTCTAGTCATACTGCAAAAGTCACTTTTTGAACGTTTTTAAACAAAATATACATTCATTGATACAAATATACCCAACTTAGTCTTAATCTAAGCTTACTACTAGTCATTGACAATAAAAAACTATTAATTGGCGAAGGGTTTACATGAAAAGTAGAAGCAACTTATATATTAAGCATGAGCAAAAACCGTAGTCTAAGGCAGAGTCATAAAGTCCAAAACCGCAACCGGTATAAATGCAATAAATAAATTTATTTTTACATTTCACAAATATTTTTAATCTCAGCGCTCGAGAGCTAAAATATAAATATAAAAAACGGTTCAAAATAATGTAATTGATTCAATATAGCCAGATGTTTTGAGAGGTATTTACAAACTTTGTTGGAACCGGCCAGGCGTTCGTAAAATTGTGTATTCCAACCCAACATTGCTGATTCAAAACATTAAGCGCCGAGAAGGAATCAGTTAATGAACTAGAAAATGGCACGATTTTCTTGCTTTAGATGATTAAAAAATGCGGCTAAGTTTTAAATTTCCATAACTCCAAACATACCGGTAATAGTCCTGTCTGAGGTCTTGTGTTAATCATATTGATTTTTTTATAGAGAGAATCTAGCCTAGTAGCTTGGTTTGAAACTAAATCGGGTTGTTTAGAATCAGAATCGTTTATTGCCATAATGATACAGAAATGTACAGGGCAAAAGTCACTAAACAAATAAAATCAGACCCATAAAAATAAAGATGCAAACTTCAAGAGTTACATACAATTTACATTTAAAACGAAGAAACACTGTAAAATTCCTTATCAACTAAATTCTTTATCTATTACCTATTTACCTATTCTTTATCTATTGGGCTTAACAAATTACAAATATATTGACCAAGACCAACAGGCTGAATAAACTGGACCAGCTGGTCTTATTCTGCAACAATGCTATACAGCACTCCATTCTACTCTCATATTCAGCAATTAGTACACAAAGTTCGTCGCTGTCTTGGTGAAGAAATTAAGCGAGTTGAAACAGAATTTGACCGGAGCGGCGACAATTTAATACCAGCAACTATGCGGTAACAGCTGTGATGATAATTATCTGACCATTGACGTCAGAGCTAATAACATCTGTTGTACTGGACCAAACCTGCCTTGTTATATCAGCTGTTTACTAATATCCATGTAAGTTTTCTCATCGGATACCGTCTGAAATGCATCTTGTTGTTCCTGGGATGATTTGTCACATAGAAACCTTTTATTTTTAATTCAGTTTACTTTCACTTAAATTTTAATATTACTAGTGTTCATGTTGCTCGAAATCGAGCAATTGCAAAGAAGTACAGGAGTTATTTATAAACAAAAAATAACTTGTTTGAAAACTAATAACAGCAATAATTTCCGATGATTTTAAAAGAGTCAACCAAAAGATTATTAACTAATGGAAATACTCACAATTTACATAACTATTCCAGTTTAAAGGGTTAATTATTAACAATCAAACTGCCCATGGACGGGAAAAGGTAAGCTTACAATTTAAGTCAACGTAAAAAGGCTGTCAGCTTTTAAAGTACCATACCTAAGTTATTTAGCCAATTTGTAGACACTAAGGTGTAGGCTACTTTAAACTCTACAGGACAGAGTTAGGCAAAAACTGGCAGACTCTGAAATGGTGTTATTTATGATAGGCTTACTCATATGCCAAATCCTTAAAATAAAAATTCAATAACTAATAACTTATATCATTAAACACAAACCAACATCCAAAACTATACACATTTTTAATACAACATAGATAATTTACACATTGACGGTTTACAATTAACATATGTTCTTCTTCTCGCAACGGGAAAAATCTGTTTCATAATCATTGAAATAGATTTATAATAAATAATCTATCATAAAGTTTAAGATTAAATAAACCTACCACATAGTTGTTTAATTTTTTTGGATCAGCTGTCTGAAATTGTGAAATAGGCATTTGACAGTTCTGGTTGTTTACATTTAAATGTCAAAGCAAATGTAAACATTGTGAATTTTCTCATTCTTCCATGGAGACCAATTATTTAATATTTAATTTCTGACAACAGCTGGGGTTTCAAAACAATGTTTATTTCCCATGTTAATCTTATGGAGAAATACGAATCTTTAAAGGGCCCCAGGGCCTCACTCTCTAATTATTTCCCTAAAAAGAAAGTTTCCTGCACAACTTCACGTTATGCTCTTTCCAATGACACCAAAAACTTGTCAATCGGTTCAGTAGTTTCGGAGGAGTAATTGTCACAAAAATCCTGCTTGCGTATTAAATAAGTATAGATGTTAGTTCCGAGTTATGTGAAAATTAAATGTGCTTCTCATAGAGTGTGTTGCCGTTTTCTGTTCTTATATTTTCTTTGTTTGTCGTACGATAATTGATTGTTGGGAAGGTGAAAGTCATAAGTCGTATAAAAGTATAGGGTCTAGGGGTTTAATTGGTTTTATATCTCGGGCGCTGTACACAATTGAAATTACTCATTCATTGAATCATTGTGCGATATGACTCGTGCGCTGACTTCATACTCGACAGTTTGATAAACTTTTATGCTTTCTGTATTCCAACGAGTTTGAAGTACTGTATTGTGTTGGGTATACAAAGATTGTGCATGTTTATGTACAAAAGAAAGTAATATTGATATCGCGTTATTTATATTTATAAATATTTACATGGCGATAATTAATTATTGCTGCTTGTTTCACTCAATAAACTTAAACTTCACTTCACTTTATCCACAGTTAAAAATAGGGTTTGTGCATTCATTTTAAAGTTGAAAATAATACTATTCTTAACGGATGATTCAAGATTCCAACTGAGTTGGAAATACTTATATCGTTAATTGATAACAATGCAATTATCAACAGCTGATTCAGAAATCACCGTCATTGTTTGAAAAAAGTATGATTCAAATACATCATTTTATCATCGTATTTCCTGCCCTGTTTGTTGAAATCATAAATAATCTATTTCCGTAAAACAGTGTTGTGTGTCATATAATTTGAACGTTACGGCCGCTAAGGTGTCTAAAATCGCACATTTAAATGAGTAAACGTGCAGTGAAGTTCTACATTGGGGTCGGAAGGCAGGCAGGCGCCGTGTGTCTACATACCATTCCAAGTCTTTCTTTGCGTCCGAGCTGCGTGAAATTTGGACATAGAATCACGTCACATCGTCGCTTGCTCTTGACCAAGGCCTTCTAGATGGTGTTCAGTTTACTTTCAAAACAGACCTTGCTGGCCAATCAAAACTGAGATGTTAAGTTGAACCAATACCAAAACCAGATCAGACCAACTGATGTGGAAGTATTGGTATAATTGCAATAAGTCCTCTAATTTTAGGCATTCGTTTTTGTATTTGTAATCGAACACAATTCAAGTAAAACAATATTATTAGCAGATAATCAAGTAGACCATATTTTAGTATGTTCTGTATAAACTCCCCTACTTTTATAAAACTATTATCAAAAGTGCTCAAATTATTTTCTTGGCAAACTGAAGAACATTGTCTAATAAAGATGTTAACAATCTCAAAGGCCACTAACATAAAACACGAGTAAAAATAAAATATGATTCAGATGTCACTATAGGGTGCGACGTGTACTTGCCCTAACTTATTCAAAGTCAATGAATCAGTTAATCAATGACTAACAACACTATGCCTTTTTGATCCCTTTGACACTTGGAATTTAAGTCCTGGATTACCACGTGGTTTATTACAACAATAAAACTTTCTCTAACAGCTGGTCGGGTATTCTCGGAACTGCATCAGCTGGTTACATGATCCAGTTATACCAACTTAGGTAAACGGGGTTGTTTCATCATCGCCCAATAGCGAGTAATTTCTGGAACATCCTTATAGAGAACCAGTTGGCAACACTGGAAATAAGAATAAGTTGAATAAGTAGGATTACACGAAAATAAACTGATTGGCTACATTAATTTAGAAATATTTGTGATAATTGGAAAATGAAAGTTTGTAATGCCCTGACATCTTGAAATTCGTCTAAAATAACAAATACTAGAATATTTTGAAATTCTGTTCAGCATCACCATAGGTAATGGACTTGTAGACGAAGTTGTTATCTACATTGTTTTATTTATATTTATACCTGAAAGTATAAAAGATACGTCAAATAACACTTGTAATAATTTATATGTATTTACCATCTTGTGAGCACCGTAAACAGTATAAATGTAAATATGTTATCGCAGCTATTTGACGTATACTTTATACTTTCAGGCAATTTAATAACACGTACGATGCTGATCAAGAAGTTAGTTATGAAACACGTATGTATTTATTTGTAGCCAACGTTGGAGTAGTAGATAAACTATAGTCGCAAACAATAAAATAAACATATCTTTTTACATTTTAGTGGGTGATATCATAGTAAAACATACACTCTCATGTTAATCGTCGATCCGCTTAAAACAACGATACAACAGAGGCATATTAACTCCCGTTTATGGCATCTCTGAATTTACAGGTATAATACCGACTTGAAAAGCACTGCGACCAGATAGACGATTTGTAAACTATTTCTTGACCACCAGGGTCATCAACCAAAGAGTAAAACACGGATTGTGAAATATATATTGAGGTAAAAATATACGGGTAGTCGAGATCAACTCAACCAAACATCGTTACCGGACTTAACCACACACTAAAGCAAGATTTAATTTTCACAACAGAAGTCGAATGTATACTCCTTCTACTAGCCCAAAGTCAACAAATGAGTGGGAAAAAATCGTGTAGTTCCGATTTTGCACAGTTGTAGACAAAAATAAAAACCCACCCTCCTGAACAAC